GTGGTGTAAAACAAAGTATTTACAATTCTCTTCTTGTCTGTATTTCAAATTGCACTTACTAGTCAATAAAATGTTTTTTTGCTCACATTTTTGCGCAAATTACAACAGCCTTATTTCAGTTTTTTTCCTCCGTGTTGAAGCTCTAATGTGTGAGTGTACGTGTGTTTGTGTGTGCATGTGTTTTGAATGCTGCGGTTTCTCTGTGCCTTTTAGTTCTCCTTTTTATGTAGCATCTGCCACCCAAAGCGATAAACAATACACGGGGATGAAAGCAAGTGTGAAGAAGGAACTGTATTTGTCAGTTAGAGCAGATAAAAGCCCCCAAATCCAATTAGCCCTCAATATATATGGGGAGGAGAAGGCCCCATGGGAGGAATGTCAGGAAGCATCCACGGCCATTGCATGCCAATAAGCCTTTATTTACATACAAGGCGATTGATACTCGTGTGCGGCAAGTGTTCTTGGAAATCTAAAAATAACTCTATTATACTCCCGGACAGACTCTGGCCACATATCTGTTCTGAGCAAATAATCAAGCTTCAAAGACATCACCGCACACCACCTTTGATCAATCTATGTATTCACAGAGTATGTTTAAGGCTGAAACCCATACAGATGGGTGCAAGCAATGGGTCAACAAATAGTAATTTTGAGTTTATTTGCTGGGACAATACCTGCCAACCATGATCGTATATATAGTTTGTCAATGATAGTTGAATAATATGCTGAAAATTTAGAACTACCTCAAAATCAATGTGTATCTCAGTGTGTGTGGAGCTCTCTCAGAAACGGATTTTGTAAGTGTTGGGCCGGAGAGTGTTTTGGTCTCTGTCTGTAGTCTGCTTCCTACACAGTTTGTGTATTTTTGTATATTTTGTATCCTGATTATTTTGTTGTATTGAATATAAATGCACAGGTTTGAAATGAATGAAATAATATATATATATATATATATATATATATATATATATATATATATATATATATATATATATAAAGAGGCACAACTTACACCGCAAGCAAAATCAGATTTCAGATTCAGATTCATTTTATTAGCCATGTGCAGTATAAAAACTACATTGGAATACATTTGCAAAAAAAAGGTACTTCTGTGCACCGACAGAATAAAAAGCATGATACAATGTAATATAAAATACACATACACTGAATATAAAAGAATAAAAAAACAGCTGACACTGTGGCACCAATCAACAAAACGATACAAGGGGTAAAAGCAGGAATTAAAGTGCTCTGTTTAGGCACCTAACAGCCTGTGGAAAGAAGCTGTTAGCATAGCGAGATGTCTTGCATCTCAGCGACTGATATCTTCTGCCAGAGGGAAGAAGTATCTGAAATATTCTGAAATTTTCAACATGACAGATATTCCAGGGACAGAATCGCTGTCCCTGGTTATGAAATGTGTTCCACTAATAAACATGTCAGGCTCACTCAAAATTATGGGACAAAATGCTACTTTTTCTTTATCTATATTATATGAGAGTGCCGCCGCAGTCTAGCTCTTAGCACTTTTATCCTTTTGGTTTGCTGCTTGTGTCGCATTTTAATCCCCCAGCAGGAACCAAAGCGAGACAGAGAGGAAAAAGCAGCTATAGGACAAATTGAGCAGTGAGGGTCAGGGCTCATGTGCTCCTATGGGGAAGACGCCCACGAGCAAACACAGCTGTTCTGTTTTATGTTTACAAAGGCATGGGGAGATGTGTGGCTGTCCAGGGCAGGGGTGACCCAAGATGTCTGCTCATTCAAATCAATGGCCTGTGCCCACTGGTGTATTGTCTCACCACAGAGGCAAAAATAATAGTGGAAATTACACGTTTGGGCCACTTCTGGTCCTTCCGGTCTGTGGTACTTTCGCAGCCAGAGGCGAACATGTGAACGTTCTGACCAATTAGCACTGACTGTAGAGGGCAGCACTACGCCTGGTGCACAGCCTGTGGTAAGTGTAGAATGAGAGGATGATGGCTACGTGCGCAAGCGGTTAGAGTGGTTGAGAAGGAGCTGAGTTTGTTGCACAAAAATTATGGATTTCAATTATTTAAAAATTGCCTCCACCAGGCTGAGGCCCAGCTTAAGCTAGCAAAACCCTATCCAGATATCATAATACATCCATGGGTTGCCCTTACTACTTCATTAGTCTTGAGCCAACAATATACACATCTTTCCTGTCAAACTGATAAACAATTCAACTTTCACTTGCTGGGTTATATAATTTTCAAACCACAAAAAATGACTATGTAATCAAATCCATAAAACTAGTGTTTTTTTACCTCTGTTCCATCTCTGATCACCCTCACTTAGTCACATCAGCTCTCAGCCAGAATGATATACAATGAACCTGATGGGGTACCCAATCAATTTTTGACCTCTGTCACATCTTTAAATCAGACAGCTTTTTCAGAGAGAAATGTGATAAGAGATGTCCACCCTTAGGCACGGTCACATAGGTTTTTACAAACGAACTAGGCCAAGTGGCCCGGATCGTCGCCACAGGGGTGTGAAAACGACTCGCGGTCACAAGGGCTTGTCCTTTTAACCGTGCCAGAGCAACGATGCTGTAGTACAACGCTCGGTCCAGCTGGTGGCGCTAATACTAACTTCAGCGCCTACCTCGTTGTCAAGAATTAAGTTTCCGTTTCTTTTCCTGTTAGGCTCTGCTACTGTAGCTAATAGCTCGAATACGGAAGACTTTCTGTGTATCAGAGCAATGTGTACAAGTCTGAGACGTGCAGCGTGTGTGTTGGTCTGTTTTGGAGATTAAATAAAGACTGAGGCCCCAACTCCACCGGCTGCGTAAAGCATACTACATATCCGTCCAAACGTGTCCGTCCAAACGTGTCCGTCCAAACGTGTCTGTCCAAACGTGTCCGTCCAAACGTGTCCGTTTCATCTCTGTCTCCGTTTTCTCCATGAGGGTGAATGGAAGTGGCTCCACTGCCCGCGACATGCGTCCGTATAACGCGCGTAGAGAGCAACGAACGCGGACGGACGAAATAGAAACAACGTATTTTTTACGTACGTCGACCCGTATTTGATCCGTTTTCCATTGAAAATACAATGGAAAAATATATTTACCACATTATTATACATGTATTAGTATACGCTGTAGTCATTGGTTATAAGCTGTTGGACGAGCTTTTAGTTGAAAAGGCTGTGATTGTTTTAATTAATTTGTTTTAAGATTGCTCTGTAACTTTTATTGTTGTGCCCCTGTGAAGCACTTTGTGATTTTATCTGTGAAAGGTGCTATATAAATAAAGTTTCTTCTTCTTCTTCTTCTATAAGTGTTTGTTAATCACAATGATTATTAACAAATGTGTGTAATTTATTTTCATGTATTAAATTCAAATAATTGTTTCCTGATTGTAAATCTACCGTTTATTTTTCGCGTAATGTTTAGAAGTTCTTTTCTCTTTTCTCTCCACCCCATTTTCCAATTGCTTTCAATAAGTTTTGCCTCATTGTCCTCGATGCTTTAATATGCTGACTCACAGGGCTCTTCTTCACAAGTATATAAAATATATCATCCATTTCTGATAAGATGAAGACGACATGCTGTGCTCTGATTTATTCACAATACTTTACTTTTACAAGAATCTTTCAGTTGTTACAAACAACATGTATTATTTAAAGTTAGCCAAAGTACCGGACCTTTGAAAGTTGTTTTGAATTTTTTCATATAAAATACAGATTTCACAATAGGTGATTACATAGCAACCACTTTTTAATTAGTTCATCAATCAGCAATCCCAAAATATATAAATATTCCAGTATAATTACAATCTATCGCTGTTGCGTTTCAATCACTGTGATTATCATGAAGAGAACAAACTTATGACTTTGACTGGAAGAAAAGGTTTACCCCAAACAAACCAACGACTTTGAAAATTACTTTGTCTATCCAAATGTTTAGTATTTTATTTAGTCTGCTTTTGCTACATACATATTTCTGGTGCAGTGTATAATGTAAATGAGAAAGAACAGCAGAGGGGACAGTGTCCTAATAAAGACATCGGCCCCTCCTCTGCTGTGGAGATCTCTGCGGGCACACTACTGCTGCTGCCTGTAAACTGTTTATGATTCTGCTCACTGGGCTGTGTTCGCTCTTTGATTAGGTGTCACGATTAAAATAACTCAGATGACTTGTTTGAGAAATTCATTTTTAGACATCTTCTTTCATCATTGTTTTATTAATTTGATGTGAACAAGTGTGTAAAAAGAATGTGTGCTTCATCCAAGAAGCAGGAAAGCAGCAGGTGCCTGGTTTGTTCACATTTCTTCTATAGCTGTTTCCTTTTTGAGGTACAGAACAAAAATATCTTTGGGGTTCCTTAAGATTGTTTATAGCTGCGGTCCTAATTGTGTTGTAGTCTTTAGGGAGACGCTATGCTGTATTGCGGACCAAGTAAAAGCTTTTAATATTTACGATGTAGAAATGTGGGGTTTGTTTATATGTGTTTATTGTTGGATGGAGTCAGTTTTGTAATGGGCTTAAACTCTGTTTACCAGTGATGTTGTTAGTGCCGTCCTGTCGACACGTACAGGTCATCACAGGGCTGGTTTCTCTTGTCTTTGCACATGAGTGAGCTGCCTGATCACACACTGTCCTTCACCCCCACCTCCAACAGCTCACCCTCACATCTCTGTAGTCTCTTGGGGGTGAGGCCAGAGCTGGACCCTGGCCAAGGCCCATTAGCCCCAACCTGGCTTCATGTGCTCATCACCAGAGATCATTACACTGAGCCAATGACACCACTCTAATGCATCATTAATGATTGATTAATGAGCTGAGCTCAGCCCAAACGGGTGCATTTGTATGGAAGAGCGACCTGTAATGGCACTGTGAGAATTGCATCTTCTTCTTTTTTTCATTTGGGTGAGTATGTTTATTGTGTGAAATCACGTTGTGCTTAAACTCCTTTTCTATATGCCTTGTCACTTAGGTGAAGCGTGAGCTGCTGAGGAGGTGACTGCTGGACTCCGACATGGCAGGACAGGGGCTTGTCGCCCCTCACCTTCTCATCCTCAGCCTTGCTTTGGTGGGTGTTTTTCCTGCAGCTGAAGGCTCTGGATACCTGTCAGGATATCGCCTCCGGTCACGCTTACAGAGAGACCGCCATTTCCGTAATATCCGACCCAACATTATCCTCATACTTACAGATGACCAGGACATAGAACTGGGTAAGATCTGGTTTTCATTGCATTTTTGAGTATATAACGCTTGGTAGTCCTTTCAAATTATGCATAAACACATTTCTGTACATTTCTCAGTCAGCTGGGTATTTCAACCATTTCATTCAACGTTATCAAGGGAAAGTTTGCCTAATGCTACTTCTTGGCACCAGAATAAGTGTCCCACTCCAAGTCATGTGCTGACCTGCCAGCTCCCTTAATGCTGGCATAAAATGAGGGCAGTCTCTGGCTCCCATTGTGTGGGTGCCAAACCTTGGCCATCTCCCAAGCCGCTTAAGTCCTTTTGCAGCGTGTTAGACTGAAGTAGCTGCATAATGGCCTGTGTGACAACCTTTGTCCTCTTGTGATTGCCAATAAGAAGACTTCTATTCAAAACCAAGATTTTGTGGTCAAGCATCTGTTTCCCCAAACAGTCACCATCAGCTTGAATAGTTATCATTACAGAAAGTCCCAAGATACCAGCAAAAATGCTCATGGGATGATGCACTTACTACTTTGTGCAATATATTCATAAATGTTCTTTTTGCTTAGTGCTTGCTTGAGTTTATTGCCCCTCGTACATTCAAACTTTGTTCCCCTTTTGGCATTTTCAAAAACAAAGGCTCAATGCAGGCCATGAACAAGACGAGGCAGGTTATGGAGAAAGGCGGAACCCACTTTACAAACGCTTTCTCCACCACCCCAATGTGCTGTCCATCCCGCTCCTCCATCCTCACGGGGAAGTATGTGCACAACCACCACACATACACCAACAACGAGAACTGCTCGTCCCCGTCCTGGCAAGCCCACCACGAGCCACATACGTTTGCTGTACACCTCAACAACTCAGGCTACAGGACAGGTGAGAAGAAACACAAATTCACTTTTTAAAAGAAGGGACTGGAAAACATTTTCTTTCACTTAATCCACAGCATTCTTTGGAAAATATCTGAATGAATACAATGGCTCTTATATACCCCCGGGATGGAAGGAATGGGTAGCACTGGTGAAAAACTCTCGCTTCTACAACTACACCCTTTGCCGGAATGGAGTGAGAGAGAAGCACAATGGTGTCTATGCAAGGGTAATTACAGGAGAAAACCCTTTATAAAAATGTATTCCACCAACTCTTTGACATACTTATGAATATTGAATAGATTTTAATACATTTTCTGCAATACAACTGATTAAGTTCTATCCCTCCGCCATAACAGTGGGCACGTTAAATAGGCTAAATGTTAGCTATGCAAGCACTAATGCCATGTCCTTCCTTCTGTACAGACGTTTCTTCTGGAGTTAGAAATAGTGGATGTGTACTGCTGATTTAATCATGTCAGCCAGACATAGTGACAATACGCTTCACAAATGTCAAATAGCAAATACTTGACAAATGACTTTTATTCAACTGCCCAAATGCCTTGTATAGTCTGTAGTTGGTTGTTATGAATGTGACACTTGCTTCATGCTTTCCTCCAGATCTTGACTGACATGTCTTTTATATGTACAGGATTACCTGACAGATGTTATTACCAACGACAGCATCAACTACTTCCGCATGTCCAAGAGGATGTACCCTCACCGCCCCGTCATGATGGTCCTGAGTCATGTGGCCCCACACGGCCCCGAGGACTCAGCCCCTCAGTACAGCACTGCCTTCCCCAATGCGTCTCAGCACATGTGAGTGCATCTCCCTGTCTGTGCTCTACTCTGCAATGACAGCCAACATTTGAACTTTGGAATAGGAATAGTTCATAATGAGCTAAGAAATAAATATGACCATTTGCATTTGGGGGTGTATTTTTCTCAACAACAAAAAATAACACATCTTTTAGCTTGATCTTATATACGATGCCTGTACTCAGTCCTCTCTGAGATAATGACACCGGCTAGTTTGTTGCATTTTGTAAAACATGATATAAGAATGGCACGACAGATGTATATTTATTGCCTGGCAATGATTTATGGGTGTGCATTCACACACTGTTCCAGTCTTTGTCCAACTCTCCATGTTCCTGATTGGCCGTCAAGTGCTGCTGCCTAATGGCAGACCTGCTATTGGCCTCCAGAGACAGATCCAGGGCCAGTAATGAGACTGCAATTTTTCCATGTTCTTCCAGCTCCCACTCCCTCCTACTGCTTCATATAATCCCCCCAGCATCATTAACCTGTGCCACACAAGCTCTATACTCTGCATACTCTGAGCACCCTGCTTCAATGTCTTTGTAAAAACTTTTAATTGCTCTTTCACCATAAATTTGCACTCCCCTGGGTAGCGTTTTGTGGGAGCTTCTTGGCTGGCTACTTTGCCCTTCTTATCAACGATGTGAATAGAAAGAGACTGTTAAGACTGGACTGGTGATAAACTTCCATCTCTGCTGCGCAACTCAAGGGCATATCTCCACATGACACATGAGGGGTTGCCCGTATGGACATTAGCCATTCTTAAAAGTCAAATCAATAGACTTTAAATGTTAAATACATTCACTCTGTAGATTCCATTAGATATTGTGTCCTGTTTATCCTTAAATAATTAAACTTCCATATTGGTGCACGTTAAGTATTGATCACAGTGTTCTCACTGTGGACAAACACATTGATTGCAATGCTTTGCATTTCACACATTATCTGTAAAAGTCCTGTTTAGTCTTGTAGAATAGCTCAAACAGATAAGAGAGAAGCAACAAACAATCTCGGTTGGACATGATTCATTTCTGTCTGAAACAGGGGAGTTTGAATGACCATTTTGACCAGGCACTCACCTTTGTTCCACATGTATAGATTTTTAAATGACTCCTATCTTTTGCTTTAATTTAAATGATTATATAAGATTATTGGATATGTGCTGTCTCATTCTTTTCAGAACACCCAGCTACAACTATGCACCAAACCCAGATAAACACTGGATACTGCGGTACACTGGCCCCATGAAGCCGGTCCACATGCAGTTCACCAACCTGCTGCAGCGCCGGAGGATGCAGACACTGCTGTCGGTGGATGACAGTGTGGAGAAGGTAGGCCGCTGGCAAATAGAGCATTCTCAAGTCCTGGGAGATCTGTGCCTGTTCTGACTGCTGTCTAATGTATTCAGTGACACACTTGGTAAATTGTTCAATCCTTTTCGTTAGAGTGTCACTGGAGAAATGAAACTTGAACAAACATATAATCATCTTTTTTTTTACTTTTCCAATGGTAATGGGATTTTTTCCCTCCCAAAGGTATACAACATGTTGGTAGAGACAGGAGAAGTGGAGAATACCTACATTATTTATACGTCAGACCACGGCTATCATATTGGCCAGTTTGGACTGGTGAAAGGCAAATCCATGCCTTACGAGTTTGATATCCGAGTACCTTTCTATGTACGAGGCCCAAATGTGGAGCAAGGGGCTATGTAAGTGTATAACATGCTGCATTTTTTATATAAGTTTTCATATTGTATATTTCAAATTCTCTTCTCTGACAGCAACCCTCACATAGTGCTAAACGTCGACCTAGCCCCAACCCTGCTGGACATGGCCGGCATTGATATCCCCTCAGAAATGGACGGAAAATCGTTTCTTAAGCTGCTAGATGCTGACAAGCCTGTCAATAGGTAAGGCAACATAGAGTTAGGGGTTGCCCTGATTTTCCTTTATTGTTTGTGTTTAAGGAAAGGTAGTGAAAGGATTATTTATTTGTACTCGTATAGCTATATTTGGAATATTTCTCTTTGTTCATTTGGATTTAATTAAGTTTTAGTTGTATTTATTTATTTACTTTTGGGTATTGGAGTATACCACTTATTGTTTATATCACAAGGAGTCTTGTGATAGTCTTTTGAAAGTTGTTCTACAGCATTTTTGGTCTGGTACGGTTCAAAAAATAAACCCTTGTGACAGCGGGCTGTCTTCACACCGCTGTGGCGACGATCCGGGCCACTTGGCCTAGTTTGTTTGTAAAAACCTATGTGACCATGCCCGAACTTGCTGTCTTCATCTCATTAGGAAACAGGTGATTGGCTGAGTGAGGGTGGTTCTCTCTTTATCACTTTTTTGTCTGAAAAATTAAAGATGTGACAGAGGCCAAATTCTACATGTGAAAACTAGTGATAGAGAGCGAGGAAGTGTTTACATGCATTTAATAACATACTTTTTTGTGGTTTGAAAGTTAGCTACCCCATCATTCATATGGAAAAAATATATATCACTAAATAAAGACAAAAAATAATATAGAATGAATTGCCAAAACACTATTAGAAATTTAGGTTCTAATATCAAATTGTTCATTTGGAAGTATTGAGGTTGTTTTGTGTCTTTGTCTCCAGATTTCAGGTGAACAAGAAGCTGAAAACCTGGCGAGATTCTTTCCTGGTGGAAAGAGGGTATTATTGATTGACCTTTAGAAAGACACATTCTCATTCAAGCCGCTGTCTTGTTGTCAGTGCGCTCAATGTCTTGACGCCACAATTTGAGACTTTTTTTGTGGTAATCTCAGGAAGCCTCTACATAAAAGAGGTGACGGGAAAGAGATGGAGCAGGAGGAGAACTTCTTGCCCAAATATCAGCGTGTGAAGGACTTGTGTCAGAAGGCAGAGTACCAGACACCGTGCCAGCAGCCGGGACAGGTACAGCAGTTTTCATTTCTATCACTAGTCAGATGATGTGGAAGTCAAAGTAGTAGTAGTAATTAATTTCGTTCAAGCATATGTACAAACATTAAAAAAGATACCAAAAAAGAACGTTTTGAAAAGGTTTTTTTTGGGTTCCAACCCCTGATGTACAACACAGTCCTGAGCCCTCTCTGATCCTACACCTCTCCCCATCCCATACTTCACAATCATATTCGTGGACCCATCACTTGCGATTTAGTTTTTATTTCACCTTCTAAAGAGCACCGTAGCTCCTCTGAGATACACACTGATTTTAGAGTAGTTCTAAAATTAGGCACATACCATCTCTCTTTGCTTCCTCTTCGTCTGTAATTATGGTGAGCATCTCTATTATGGAATCAGTGTTGTACATTTTATGGCAGAGATTTGTCAGATGCCCAGAACATTATTTTAACAGTTTTAAAGTTGTCCTGAAGTTTAAGTGAACCAGATATCCAAACTATAGCGATGTTATCAAAGGAATTTTCTTTTAGCACTGTGCACCATTTGGCCAGAAGATGGAAAACTTGTTATCGCCACTTACTTTTAATTAGCTTCTGGGGAAAAAAATCATCGTGGTAGCTTAACATCCTCTCTTAGGCACAAGCAGAGAAATGGTGGTCATTAATATTTCAAGGTACAACATGGAGTGTAGTTCAGTTCACGCTGAGGCTCAATTTAAGCTCTGGCTAATAGTTTATTTAGACTAATGTGCTGTCTCAGAATGAGAGAGGGCTCAATTTGACATAAAAGTCTATTATTTAGTCCTTTAAACTGAGACTTACTGTCCAAACGTGTGCAAGGATGATTAAATATGAACGATCTTTTAAAATATTCAGCAGCATCCTTGAGAAAATATCTTGTTTATGTTGCTGAAGTTGTTTTTTCTACCTCTTTTAGAAATGGCAGTGTGTGGAGGACCCGACTGGTAAATTGAGGCTGTATAAATGCAAGGGTATGGCGAGCCTCTTTGCCCCACGCATGCAGGCTCTGATGGCCCGTGGAGTTTCCAAGCTGTCTCCCGTCTCCAACTTTGCCAACTGCAATTGTGCCGACTTGTCATTGAAAACATCTATCTTTAGGAGGAAGAAACTGCTCACTAAAAAGAGTAAGTTCTTCCTGTCACTCACACACTTCATCAGAATGACACTTGTACTTCACTTTGAAATGTCCTTGTAAAACTGTAATGAAACCGGCCATTAATCTGGTGCCTGAAACTGCCCTGAAACAGTCTGTGAGAGTGCTGTGTCTCTGCTGCCATCAAGTGTCCAAAATAAATATAACACTTTTACCGTAACAGACAGTATATAAGACTAAAATTTGCATTATTTATTTTGTAGAGATGAAATCTACTAAAACTGTGACGCGAAAGCGCTGGGCCCGCTCGGTCTCATTTGAATTGGATGGAGATCTGTATGCAGTGGACTTAGAGGAAGGCTACTGGCCGCTGGGTGCAAAGAACAGCAGCTGGGTAAAAGATAAGAAGAATAGACTCCACTATGAAGAAGACAATGATGAATTCAGTGGAATGGAAGTCACAGCCAAGCCTACTACCAGCTACAATCTAACAGCCCCAAGTGCTCTAAAGGTTACCTACAGGTGTGTGCGGCGCTCGATGAACACCCTCTCCCACTGTGCATGTGTTGGATTTTAATACCGTACATTGTTCGTTTTTTGTTGTTTCAAAGTTGGGGAGTCCAGATTTGGTTATAACTGTTCACTTATGTATTAGATTAGAGTAAAAACACAGTAATATTTTTCAGTTGTGTAACTCACTAGAAAAGTATAAATTGGTCATATATTTCTAGCAATCAAAGTAATTAAAGTTATATGCATACATTAAGTATTCCTTCATTTTCTTTGTTTTCTCACCGCTTGCAATTATTTGGAAAAGCAAATATGATCACTAAAGTTAATTTAACTTGTGGAACAATTACAGTAGTATTTGAAATTAAACTTGATGTTATATAATTTGTGTTTTGGACCAAAAGTAACTCTTAATATATATAATATCGTAATACAACATTTTATCTCTGTAATTAATAATAAATATATTAGAATTTTCGAGTAACTTACCCAACACTGGTTAACATAGAACACTATTATTTTTGCAGATGCTCTATTCTGATGAATGACACAGTCAAGTGTGATGGAGGTCTCTACAAGTCCCTTCAAGCCTGGAAGGACCATAAGCTTCACATTGAACATGAGGTACACATCATTTCATGTTTTTTCATGTCATACTAATTGTACGGATGGAAAAATAGCATGATGCTAAATCTGGTGTAGCCATCTTTTTAATGTAACTACAAACTTCAATTGTTATTCGAATTGATTCCAAAGTTTATCTTATGTTTGTGCTTAGACAGAATAGCTCATTTACTGGTGTGGTTAGTTATTACGTCAATATAAATGTGAGACTTTCAATGTATTTGTAATATTTAATGAAGTATAAAGCGTGTTTTCTTTAGATTGAAACTTTACAAAGTAAAATCAAGAATCTGCGTGAAGTCAAAGGTCATTTGAAGAAGGTGCGCCCAGACGAATGCCAATGTAACGACACTCCAAGGTAAGCCACAAAAACAGTCAAATATATCATCGGAAATTTGACTGATGTGTTTTTTTTTACAGTTATCTTTATAAAAGTAAAGAAAATTTTCAACTAAATACGGAGAACATTGACAACCTGGGGTAATTTTACTTTACCTTGATACAAACACATTTTCTTATACCTATTAATATGTTTCATGTCATTATTTCTGTAGAATGGCATCATCAAAGCTGGCAAAGGAGCAAAAGCACCGCAAGAAACTGCGTAAATTCCTTAAACGTCTCCAGAACAATGACACGTGCAGCATGCCCGGCCTGACCTGCTTCACTCATGACAATCACCACTGGCAGACTGCCCCCTTTTGGACAAGTAAGGACACGCACTACAACAAATACTAGAGCCTTTTACACTATGTTCTGTTTCCAAACGTGCCTTTCTCTCACAGTGGGCCCGTTCTGTGCATGCACCAGCGCCAACAACAACACCTACTGGTGCCTGCGGACCATCAATGACACGCACAACTTCATTTTCTGTGAATTTGCCACTGGTTTTCTGGAGTATTTTGACATCAACACAGACCCTTATCAGGTTTTTATTATCACCACTATTACATATTTATATATTTATAGTTTTATATATTTTTGTAATATGCTCCTTGTGTGTCTCCTTGTTAAAGTTGATAAACGGCATCAGCAGCCTCGACCGCAACACGTTAAATTCATTGCATCAACAGCTCATGGAGCTGAGGGGTTGCAAGGGGCATAAGCAGTGCAATCCAGAAAAAGGTATAAGTCGTGCTTGAAATACAAAATGGTGATTTCTAACTGTGTCAATTTTAATTAACCAAATTCCACTTTCTTTAGGTGGAAAAGAGCGAAACTATTTCAGTGAATACAGGTACTCTTTCTTTTGAACTTTTTGAGCGCCACAGATGGAATTCATGACATGAATTTTAAAAGTGTCAGCATCCCCTGATGTGTTTTGTTTTTAACATCTTCCAAATGACAGTAAAAAATAAGGTTCATGTACGTTGTAGGGCTGTAATCAACAATATTTTTTTTATAATCGATTAGTTGGCCAATAATCTTATGATCATTCGATTAGTTGTTTGAATCCTAAAAAGGTCAGTCATTATGGGATTTTTAAACCCTGCAGAGAAACGTCATATACTTGGAATCGTATTCAAGCTAATGTAAGGTTAAAAAAAACAATTAACCCATTGCTAAAATAGTTGACAAATAGTTCAATAATCAAAAAATTGTGATTAAATGATTAACTTGTGACAGCCCTTGTACTTTATAATTCTAATTAAACCCTCTTGAGTATGCAGAAGCAGAAGTGGCTGCAGCCGAAATATCGAGTCTGCTGTCTCCGTGTTGTAAACATTGCTCTTTTTTGTCTAATTGCTAATTGCTTGTCTCTGGTGTGCGTGTTGGTTGGATGTGCGTCTGTGTGTTTTGTGTATGCATATATCTGTGTGTGTCTCCATGCACATGCGTCTTCCTTGCGTGTGTATTTGATGTGCATGCCTCAGGCCAGTTCATCGCCGAAAGAGGCCAAAAGTGAAGAAGCCTTCCTCCAAATCACTGTGAGTGAATCACATCCCATCTGTCCTTTTAGTATTCATCAATCTTACCTCTTCCATGTGTTTTGTTTTATTCATCACAGTCACCAGTGCTCTCTATGGTACTGTAGTTCTCTTATTTTGTCATGTTTTAAGTACCCTGCGACCTTCTCAATGCAGGTCTTAATTTAAGTTTTTTCCTGGCGTTAACCCCAGCCTCAGGAAGGAAAATGTCCAATAGATAGATTTCACATGTTATATATTTTTTGTGTGCAGAGGGCAGATTTGGGAAGGATGGGTCGGTTAACTACTCCTCGGAAATTCAACAACCCATCGCAGTGACCTGCTACTGTTCTGGGAGTAACACAGTAGTGGAAGAAAAACCTAAGGACCTTGACACAAATAAATGATGGACCATGGGCTGAGACACACCTTTTCAGTTCTCCGGGTTTTATCCATTGATCTTTAAACCCTGTCACAACAGAAAGGTGATCCAAAAAGAACTGAACAATGCAACCTATATTAATAGCGTATTGGGACACATACATTGTTATCTGATAGGTCCAGCTGTCAAAAACCGTTGCTAACACAAGTGTAATTGGTTTAGGACAGTCTGATGTGCAAAGTGCATTCAGTTTTCTTGTAGATACTAGATCCTATATCCGCTTTTCATAGCTTTCTTCTTCCTCATCATCAACAAGAGAAACTGTATGAAACGATATATAAACCCTGCTGCTACAAAACACCATAGAAGACAGTTTTATCAGTGACTGGTGATGTGGACGGACACTGCATATGCCCAACTGTGATGGATGTTTTGCCATTTTGTAATATAATTCCTAACACAATGAATGTCCTGTTTGAACATCTCTGAAGCTGTGTGATGATCGATGGCTAAAGTCTGCCTGCCTTTATCCATTGTCATGTAGTGTTTCATTGAACATGCCTATACTAATAATACATTCAGCACAATGGTCCCAAACATTGCAACAGTGAATGCTTCTAACCTTTTTTCCTATTGGTTCTCACTGTATACATTTCAATAGGCTTGCCACGGTGCTACCAGGTGAAAACACTGAAGTAAAATCTTGATGTACAGTTCAAGATGTATTTGAATGTATGTTGTGCAATGAATATCGATGTTTACAATACTTTTGTAACAGCCTGCTGAAATGGCTGACCTCATTGTGTTATTAGGTGAGAATTTTATGGACAAATGTAGCTCGAGAGATTTCTTTAGAACTGCTTGTAACTCATATGTTGGTTCTCTAATTATTTACACATGAAAAGCACTTAAGGGTTCACTGTGAAGAGACGTGTTATGTAAATATAACTGATTTTAGGTTTCCACTGGAATAGCACAAGAACAATGTAAAACTGTAACTATTGCTGTGAATTTTAGCTCTGCGCCTTTGTTAGTGTTTGATTCTCTAGCAATTATTTCCATAGATAAATGTGAATAAAATGTTTGACCAATATCATTATTATTTATTTATTTCTAACATATTGTATTGCATATCTTTTACTCATTAAGTATTTTAAGTATATAGTTATTTCAAGTGTCCCTGGTAAATTCGCACTTACCCCGAGGGAGCGACTGAAATACCTACGTCCTCCTGCAGATGTCGCCATGGTCAACAAAGTTACAACAGTACTTTGCGTTGGGGAATATCCTGGTAGATATTTTAGTATTATTATATTTTACTTCCTATACAGCTTAAGTTTTGGTTTAATTGTCTCGTAAATTTTGTTAGGTTTAGGTACAACTAATTTGGTAAAAGTTTGTAAGGGGTTTGCTATTCGGGTCTTGCCAGAACTTCGGAAGGGAAAATATTTATGCTATATCTTACTCGGACGTCTCCAAAGCATGGATCTATTATAGCCCCATAAGGATTCGTGTGGTAAAATCTAAACGCGTCTGCAGTGTCTGAGTCAGAGTCTGCATGTTGTGGTCCTGCCTGGGGGGCCCTGGTGGGGGTCATGGTGGGTGTAGACATGACCCGGGAGAGGCGGAGACTCCATCGGAAACACATCCATGGATTCTCCGCGGGTGGACTCTGCCCTGTCCTCAACATTCAGCTCAGTCTGCCGCCAGGATCTCAAGTTTCCTCTTTCGGCTCAAGAACTTCACACAAACCTTCTTTTCTCCTTGTTTGCGACGTGGTTACAATGTGAAGAAATGGCCGGGACAAGGTAAGAGACTTTTTGACACGCTATAATTAAAATAATGTAAAAGTTAAATTTAGAACGAGAGCAAAAGTTGTGCTTTCTCTCCGCCAGACACACGACGGCACACCTCCGCTTTTCTGATAACTACTTTTATTTTTGAAATGATGAAAAGTTGCACTTGATTAAAGGTATATTTAGACAGAGAAATGACGGCTAAAATGGTCGTGGCTGTGAAGCTAAACTGTATGAACACGTGCATTAGCTGATGACTGTCGTCGCCTAAACACATCTAAAATGTCATTCCACCACCTTAAGTTGACTATTTAAATTGCTAATTCATGTTAAGTATACTGTCACACCTGGCTAATGATAAGTTGGTGTGAGATAGTTTTTACTGTGGTAATTGATGTTCTAACACTGGAACAAGGCAAGTCTCCTGTCTGAATCTGACGAAGAGTTTGGATCTGCTGTTCCATGGCTTTGACACATTCTGTCTAAGCATTTCTTTTGGGTACACGGCTGTCAAACATTTGATATAGCATTACAGAATTAAGGATTTCAGCGTCCTCTTATCAGAATGATGAGGCCAGGGACAACACCTCTTTGAGTGTGGGAAAAAAGTTGTATAAAAGAAGCTGTGACCAAGGTTATGCAATGTTTTGAAGACTAGAAGAATCTGATGGGCTGGTCATAACATATACCAGTTGTAATTGTTCAGAATATGCTCATGCTTGCCTTGTGTAGAAAAAAGCAGAGTATTGTACAATATGTTTAATACACTCTTCGTTCATTGGAGTAAATTTTGCTGCCTCTAGCCTTCTAAAGCATTTTGCTCGTCTTTACGTACGAATACTATAATTTTTTTACCAAATGATTTATGTGTACTAAAAATATATAATATTGTTGTGATTGCTTACTATTTGTATTCATTTCACTCTGATTGAAAAGAATATAAATATAAAAATATATATTTTAAACTCAGATTTGATCATGTAAAACTGGGGTATTTAACTTTCAAACCAATCAATCAGACTAGTTCCTAACTCAACAGTTTGGTTTTATCAATAGTTTTCACATGCATGTATCATGATGGCCCCTGCCATATTTATCGGCTTTTTCAGACAACAAAGGTGAAAGGGACCCCTCACACAGCACTCAGCTCAAAGTATTATTCACAAGGCTCTGTCTTATGCAAAAGATGACATGTTTGCTAAAAAAAACTATATGTTGTGTATCTTTTTTTCACAATAAAAAAATTTATATATCACATTTAATAGTGCTGTCAAATGATTAAAATATCTGATCGCGATTATTTGCTTGTCATTGTTAACTCACGATTACCAACACCTGCTGTACCTTACGTCCCATACACAGCGTGTCTTTTGAAGCACAAAAGCTCGCCCAGCATGGGGTGACTCGAGGCTCATTTCAGATGTGTGCCCGTGGTAAAAGCATTGAGCATGCAAAAATTATGCTCAAAATATGACTCACTTTACATTGCAACAACAAAAGTTAGTACTCCAGCTTTCACTGCTGTGAGTTGCCTCTACCTGAGACTGTTTGCAATCTGATACTTATCTGATGCTCTTTGTGGCTCACCACACTGTTAATGTATTGAGACAAACTTCCTCAACCACTTCAACCACCTGTACGCCTTGTGGCTTTATTAGGAACTTTTATTCATTATACGGATCAAAGCCTTTGTTTGCCACAGTAGGTGGAACCTGAGCCAAATACGCCTACTTACTCGGCGCTGATGTAAAATGCAAGGCCAATTTTCAATGGTTTTGGTTGGTAAAAAGTACATTTTTGTTGATACTTGTATTTTCTTTTTACCCACCAAAACCATTTAAAGAAAAGTTCTCAATTTCAGGCATTGGTGCATTCTTGACTTCACACAATAATAGGCATTTGAACTATGTATGCGTCACCTTGATTAAGATAAGATATAAGATAATACAAACCTTTATTTGTGGCCCAGTGGTGAAATTTCAATATTCATTTAATTAATGATCATTTGCAGTAAGCTATTAAAATAGATATGATCATAATGACTTCCTATTCCTAAAATGATTAATTATTTCCTATTATGTGACCCCCCCAAGCATTGTTCCCTTTGGAATTCACTGCCCCATAGGGCCACCCAGAGCAGACCTACAGTTAACCCCTTTACAATCCCTCCACCTCTAATCCTGAAGGGTCGGACGTCTACACTTCACACCTTTGTTATAGCTTTCTGATTATGGCTTTTCATCCTAAACATTATCATTGCGTCTACTTACTTTTCTAAACTTTGAGAATACTTGTGCCTGTAGAGGTGAAATATGTGACAGTTTATGAACAACTCTTTCCTGTGAGGCTCTGCTGTGGCCCGTCCCTGACCCCTTCGTCTAACCTCCTTACACTAGGATTAGGCTCACCCCACTTTGTCTTGTCAGCAGCAGGGACCCGGGGGATGGTGCATGGTAGTGTCATTACCAAAAACGGTTCCGTTCACAACATTTGATCAATAGCGTGAAATGCTGAATATTTCAAACAGTAAATCGATAGTAGTTTTGTCTTTTATTTTGTCATTTATTTTGTTATGTAACCAAATTTCACTTAAAAGATATTTTGTGTCAAATAATTAGTGAAATAATGTGTTATTAATCATATAATTTGCGTGCCCCTCCTTTGGAAACCATTGCTTGAGGAGTGATGGCGATTGGTGTTCCCTCATTAGTTAACACAAAATTTCCTTGTTATTGATGCAGTTGACCAGTGAATGGTTAGCCATAAGCTCTGATGATTACACGACGGTAAGAACAACTAAATGGACTGATTCATTTGTGTTATTTGGACAAGTGACCCCATTGTTCATGCATTTGACAGCTGGCACAGACCTAGCCTGCACTTGTTCCCTCTTGTCTCTCCCTGACCTGAAAAGCCCCCCACATGTCGAACAAGTAAGGAAAAAGGGGTGATTTGGGGGGAAAATGTGGAGCACCCATATTTGGCTAATGCTGTATCTATTAAAGGCGGTTTATTGCCAGTGACTTACGAGTGCACAGTAAGAGAGGGGCCGGAAGTTCCTGACATTCTGTGGGAGAAGAACAGGCCACCAGATGAGACAATACCCCTTTTACAAGAATTACACAGTGCTACTACTTTTGTCTGACTGTAATTGGTAGGAGGATTATACCACAAGAGAAACTTTGAAGTTATTTCAAGACTGGCATGATGTTCTTTTGGAAGCACTATGGAGGTAGACACTGGGGTGCATTCAGGCTGAACATTTTGGCAATTCATGGAAATCTCTGTATCCATGTCAAATTACTTTTTGGGAAGCAGCATGGGAAATGGTGGCTGTGCTGATGGTGGCTCAACAACCTTGTGGGAGATCCGGTCTAATCCAGTGTTGGAGAGAGGGAACTGTCTCTAGTTGTGGATTAGAGCAGCTGTTGAAGCAGGTCACCCCAGACCTCATGCACCCTTGTTAAAACCTTCCAATTCAATGGAATTATGTAATACATTGTTGAATGAATTTTGATAATCAATTGATCATCAAATAAGTAGTTTATTTTGAAAGCCTGTAATTATGAGATTTCAATTATTAAGCCACTGCCACTTTGCGACATCCTAATTGATCCATGGGATTTTGACCTGATTCCTACTTTGCAAACATGTAATGACATGAGACAAGACGGCTCATTACTCTCTATATGGTCAAAATGTCTTTGATTGCTGAATTATTTAATGCATTTTTTTCAGCCCTAGCAACAGTCTCTTTGACTGGTTAAGAGCGTGCTCATTATGTGAAGTTTGCCTGTTGTTCTGAGAATAGTTTGTATTGTTGTATGGAACCACATGAACAAAGGAAACGAAGGCTATTTTTCACAGGCATTGTTATGTATATGACATTCCTCGAGCTAGGTAACCATTTTATAAACTTTCTGACGAAGAGACAACAAAGCGCGCAGACATTCTTATTAGTTCAAAACTCCCTTGAAAAAATATTTATGAATGGGACTTTCCTGGTTATATAATCGTGAAATAAAAATGCTAGATTGATTGTGCAATACAAACAAAATGCATGAAATGGGTCTTGAACATATTTAATGAATGGTTTACCATTATAAATTAGAACCAACATTTATTTTTGAATTTCTCTCGATATATTTGAAGTGCTTTTTGTGGGATAGTCCAAACATTCTACTGTATTCTGTTTGTTGTTGTGACTGCAATATGTGCAAAGATTACATCAATTACAGATTGACAACATTGAATTCAATGGTGTTTTAATGCAATTTTCAATTGGTACTGCAGACTAGATTCACCAGGGCTAACTAGGAAATGTCCTGGACCTCAATGTTAACAAAAAACGCTTATCCTCAGCTGACATAGAACCAACCGCTTTCTCAAAAGTCAGGTTTAGTGGGTATTTTAGTTTTGTTTGGTATCCTCAACCTTTTTCTTTTGAAACCCATCATTTTTATATAAATGTCCTTCTAAATACTTAATGGCAGGCTGTGTATCAGTGTGGCGGAGTGCTGCCCTCTCCAGTCAGCCTGGATTGGTCAGAACGCTCAAATGTTCGCCTCAATCTCAAAGTACCACAAACGGCACACCTACTGCTCAAGACTGGGAGGACCATAGGTGACCGAAATGCATCACTTCCGCTAATATTTTGGCCTCTATGCTGAGACTATACACATGAGCACAGGCCATTGATTTGAATGGGTCGCCAGGGGTTGTTGTAGACGTTGAAGGTAAAGAACAATGTCGACTTGTTTAATTCAATTTCATAAAGTAGCTCTGGTAATGTGGACTAGGCAATGAACTAGAAACCAAAGGAATATCCATCCCACTGATTAAGATGACACACAATATCAACAGCTTGTAAGCGGCTGCTCCCTCCCTCCTGGTGCAGCTGATCCTGATGGGCTCAGAGGTAGCCTTGTCAGCTGACTTTTTTGCACATCACTCAAACTTTTCCATGCCACCTCTAACGTCAAACTTGATCTCTTGCGAGGAGAGCCAGACAT